TGTTTTAATGTTTGTTGACGTTGTTCGCAGGGGTGAGAGGACAACTATCATTTCCCATCATCCCCTCTTCCCCCATGATGGAGGGTCGACAGCTGAGAACATGAAACAGCGAGAGCAGGACGGATCAGAATGACGAGGATCAAACAGGTATCGCAAACACTCAGACTCTAACGACATCGACACGTGTACAGCGCAAGAAAGTTCTGCATGTGGGATTTACCATGTTAAAATCCATTTTCCAAAAGCATGAAAGCCATCTGCAGATTATATCATTTTCTCTGTATCCTGAATCAGTCGTTTCTATAACCAGAGTAGTAATAAAAGTCAAAGTGAGCGAATTTAAATTGCCTACCATACTGACTGCTGGGTAAAGTAGGGCCTCGGTTCTTCCCGTTTGACATCGGATGAGGAAACATCTACCAAAGAGAGAAAAAAAATAAGCAGAGAAAATACACACCATTGCTTCAAAAAAAAATTTTTTTTTTTAATAAATTAAAAAAAACATTATATGCATATTACATATCTTATGCATCAGTAATAGTCAACAAATAACATTTTTAATTACATTTAATTTTTCATTATTTATGTTTTATATTATTTTTTTTCCAGGTTAAAATTAAGTGTAAATTCAATTTTTGTTTAATTAAAGAATTTTTAAATTATAATTTTACAATTTTATTGTTATAATTTAATTATAAGTGTTTATACTAAATCTATTAAGTAAACCAATTAATAAACATTAACAAATTAAGGACAGTTTATATTAGGGGTATTATGGTTATTCAAAACCAAAACATAAAAAAATACACTTGAAACAAAAATGTTAACTGAATAAAACAAAAAAATAAAAAAATGCAAGGCAACATCTCATTTTCATTTAGTTTAACATATACTAAAATTAGGTAAAACTGGAAAAATAATAAATGACCACATAGACAAAATCGACCAAAAAAAAAAAAAAACCACATAAAAATTACCCAAACTTTAACGAAAATTCAAATTGGAAATATACATAAAAAAAAAAAAGTATAACATTTATTTTCAAAATATTAACAAAAACTACAATAGTATCTTAGTAACACGGGTATATATGTTCACACACAAAAACATTAATATATACATATATTTGCATATACATTTTCTATTTTTATATTATATCTTTTGTTTTCATTTTGTGTCTATAACTATAAATTATATATAATTTATGAAGTAAAAAAGGTACAATATAATCAAAGCCATGTGTGGCCTAACAACGGCCTTTAGTTATGACTACCATACAACACAGTCACAACACAGCACAGTTTATTGCATGTCACACTGCTTGACATTTGATGTCAACTATCCATAAACATCTGTTATTAAAACCAGCAGAAGAGTCTCTTTGACTTACAACACTGAAATCCAGCAGGTCGTTCAGCTCCATGTCGGTCCCCGCTGTTGCCATCCTGATCCTGATCCTGTGTGTTCTTGATCTGCTTCTCTCGCTCGACGTCTCTTTCCTTCTCTTTCAGCTCAAACAGGTTTATGATCCTGCAGGGAATGAGATGCATAATGGACAAGCATGCTTTCAGATCATCTATGAACTCTGGGCCTAGTAATCAAATCTGACGTGAATGCATATGATCCAAAATAATCCGACTGCCGCTTCCATCTGAAGAACTACTCTACAACACAGACCTGCTGTAAGAGTGTTTTCCCAGAATGCACCACATCTGAACTCGGTTAACCACCAAAAGAGACCACCAGCGAGTCTCCAGTCCAGCGCTCGAGAAAAAACCACCCACTCCTAGAGTATGGGAACTAGTTAGTTGCACAAGAAATAACCATGATTCCTGGAATCAAACAATGCATGTGTAACATTTCCATAGCGTGAAATATCAAGTTTATGTCTATACATGGAACATTTTTTAATAGATAATAGGAATGCAAGCTCTTATATAGAACATTGTTTTAATTTCTATGCAATAGATGCTTTTCAATCCGAAATATTGAAGGAAAAAAAATTGGCAGCTTTCAGAAGACAAATGTCACGTCACGCAGAAACAAAGCACTGCGATTTTACACTTTTCCTTAATTCGTGAAGCAACTCATTAAACATCAGCACTGCATTACACAGACACAAGAAAAGTGAGAAGCCGTAACCAAAAATACTTTTGTCATCAGCACTGCTCCAACAACACCTTCACTGGAATCACAATCAGCACCTCAACAGGTAGATGATTGTGAAATATTAAAGATCACAAATGCTGCAATGAAGCCAACACAATAATGGCTTTACTTTCACTTTTGGGATGCACAGTTTACACTGACAAAAGAATATCAAAAAGTGCTTGGGGCATGTAGCATGGAAATACCATGGTTTTGAGCATGTAGTATGATTATACTGTGATGTTTTTAAATGCAGCCTCACCAAGGCTCCATTTATTTGTTCGAAAACATAGTAAAATCAGTAAAATTGTGAAACATTACAATTTCAAATAATTGTTTTATATGTGAATGTTAAACTGTAATTTATTTCTGTGATGCGCAGCTGTATTTTCAGCATCATTACTCCAGTCTTCAGTGTCACATGATCCTTCAGAAATCATTCTAATATGCTGATTTGCTGCATTTTTGATTATCATCAAAGTTGAAAACAGTTGTGCTGCCCAATATTTTTGTATTAACTGTGATACATTTTATTTTTCAGGATTCACAGCTGTATATGCATTTATTAGAAGTTGACTATTTTGTAACAAATGTCTTTACTGTCACTTTTGATGCATCCTTGATGAAAAGTAGTATTCATTTAAAAAATACCCGATTTTACCTAAATGCTTGAACAGTAGCATCTGCAATGGAAATACCATTGAGGGCAAACAACATTGGGCATAAAATCCCAAAGTACTACACCATTTTTAAAAATACAGTGTAAATACCATGGAATTTTAGGCTATAAATTTCAAAACAGTGGGTAAAATAATGTTTTTGGGCATGTATTTTAGCATGAACAGACGTTTTTGACATTTATGTTACATGGCACCAGTGTATGACCATCATTAGGAGTCATTTTGGACATTTGTCATGACATTTCTATTGATTTGTTTACTTGTACCATGAAAATACATGCAATATCTTTAAAGAACACAATGTAAACACCACATGATGAACATACATATATACATGTATATATATATATATATATATATATATATATATATCCTCGACACAAAGTTTGAAAACTACACAACAACGACAAGAAACACTCCATATGGGAGAATAGAGATAATAAGAGTGCGTAAACAACTCCACAAGTTTTCCAGAGAGGAAAAGATGGGAAAGCCATTCCCAAAAGTGAAAAAGGAAAAGTTATTTCCCAAGAAAAGTCAAATAAGCAGACCAGGCCATTAGAAGAACTGCAATTAGCAGGAAACTCCAAACACAACAAATGTAAAATGCTTCAACTGTACTTCATTTAACCCGTGTAAACTTTTATCTGTTATAACCATCAAAAACTTTAAATAACCGAATTGCAGCAAATATGCACGCGAAAGAGGCAGCAGATGTTCTGTAAAGTTGTAAACACACAGTTACTGTGGTAAAAGGAGCTATACAGGGGGTTTTAAACTTGACATTGTTGCCAATTATTGAACAAAGAAGCCGTTTCCTCTGGACTCGAACCCCGCACGCACACACACACACACACACACACACACACACCGAAGCTCAGAGACAAAACACTTCACACACATTTGCCCGTGCAACAAAAGTTCATTAATCACACCAGATGCGTTAAAGTCAAAAACATGCACGTTTACGCGTGTAAACCCTGATAAACGCGGTAAATACTCACCGTTCCTCGCGTCAAGCGCGCGGCATCCAGCGGGAGAGAAACGCGCTTCAGCCCGAGAGGAAAAACAGAAAAGTTGGGGGACAAACCCGCCCCCCCCCTCTCAGGTCCCGCTAATTCACGGTGCAAAACGCGTCCAGTTTCCCGGGAAACGCGAACAGTCCGCGTCGAGAGCTGTTACAATGAAACTGCGCTCAAATGTAGCTCTGCCTAAAGTTCTAATCTAATTTTTTTCGAGCGCTACAAATGTAACATCTCATTTTCCGAGGAGACATTTTAGCACCGTCCACATTGTCAGCCCCAACAGTGTATCCCTCCGCGCGGAGGGGAGACGTTATAGCGGTGTCCGATTTCAAACGCCCAGAAAACTAGGCCTGGGTTTATGACGCGATTACTTTGATATTTACCATACACCCAACACAAATAAACTGCGAAATAATGCGGGCAACAGTATATCTAACTTTATCGTAATATGAGCAGGATTTTGCTATAAATTGCGCCGCACTAGACTAACGCGCGGAATGAGACGACGCACGGTTAAAGACAGATGGACTGAGAAACGGTGCGAAATGGAGCGATAGACCCACCGAACTGACCAATAGGGTTACAGGAGCGTTTGATTGACATATTCGGTGGCCAATGAAAACACTTTTAACACTAAAGCCAAACCTCTCTTCCCTGCACACCCTACCCAGGGTTTAAAAGAAAAGGCAACAGGAAGCCATGGAATACTGTGTATTTTTTGTTTTACGCAAAACGTTCAGCGGTATAATCGCGATTGCAGAAACTCGTTTCAAAATGTCTTCGGATCAATTTAAAATGTTACAGAATGATAACAGTTAGGCACGTAAAAAAGACTAGAGCACACTGACAAAAGTACCCTGGTATTACCAAGCTGTTTAGGTATCACAGTACCATGATATTCATTGGAATATCATGCAAATATGAGTGTGAATAAATATGGTAACCATTCAAAACAATGCTATGTTATGTGAAAATATAAACAACACTGGTAAAAAAAAAAAAAATCAACCAAATATATTTTAAATACATGCTAAATATGTGTTATAAACAGTGAATCTCAATGAAATATTTTTGAAATTTAAAATGTACTTCGTTTCAACCTTCACATACCACAATGTATTTTAGAGGCGAAAAAATATTTGCAATCTTGCGGTTTTAAAGCATATTCATATTTTTTTTAAATAATGGCCAGAAAACATAATGGTAGAAAGTATATTTAGGTAAATATAATTAGAAAAATATTTTTTTGTATATTTCAAAATATATTTACAGATGTATTTCTGTCAACATATCTGGGCCGCCACACTATTTTATTGAGAAACTGGAAATGGTTGTTAAGATAAATGATACAGTAAACTACAATTTGAGTTTATACCTATTTATTGATCGCACATCCCCTCGTATGGTAAAAATGGCTCTTATTTGATATAACGCATGACATATTGATATGCTTTCAAAAGCAATAAACCGGTTTCTTTTTTCACCTTGAGTTTGTTAAAACAGCACGCTGGTGTAAAGGCAGTGTTAGCACTTCCTAAACCCATCTTAGATTTGGAGAGCTGACACCTTGGATAATCTAAAACTGAATGAGCCATAATCAGAACTGAAGCGAAGCAAATGGCTTCTGGCTGGAGGTGTGAACAGGACTTTCAGGGGGCACTAAAGAGGAAGCGCGGCATTTGGTGTTGTGGCGGGAAAACAGAAGCTGCACCTCGGCCCTTTAACTGGTGTTCTTTGAGGTCACAGCGGTGCAGAAACCACACCAGGGGAGAGATTAATATGAACAAACAGCAGCCTGATGATTCATATGTGTGATATATCTGTCCTCGGGTGTTGACAGTGAAAATGAGTCCAGGTAAACACTGACATTAAAGTCAACACACAAAATCTAAATTCACCCCATTTACGTTCTCGTTTCATGGTCTGACTGTGAACGAATCATCAGATCGCAAACAAAAATGTTTTTCTTCATAATCTTTCATCAAAGTGTAACATCTGTTTTCATGTATTTTGTTGTTTCCAAGAAATCGCAATAACAGAAAAAGAAGCTATTATCCAGCTCAGATGGCAAGCCTCTCTCAAAGTTATGAACAAACGTTCTTTCGTGAACGTTACTTCAAAGTTATCTGGTCTTAATAATGTTCTCAAAATGTCAGCACAAAAACATTATTTACACGCCATTAATGGTTTTTCTGAAATGTTCATCAAATGTTTTTTTAAATGTTACTTTTGAATGTTCGAAGCAAGTAGTAACATTCAAAAAACATTTCATGATGATGCAATTTCCCTTAACGTTTGCATAACAGAGAAAAAACATGCAGAAATAAGGTTTTCAGAACGTTAGCAGAATGTTCTTAGAACATGTTTTTGTTTGCTGGGAATATTTCTGAAATATGAATAAGAAGTGCTTTCCAGCTTGACATCAATCTAGGCCAGAACTGAGAGCCAAACAACTATTTACAGACACACTTCACAATCCAATCAAATGGATAAAATCAAGTTCCTCTCTCTGTTTTTTTTTTTTCTCGTTGGATATCCTGATCCGCTCATAAATACGTCACAATACAGAAGCAAAATGGGTTGCGAATGCTTCATATTGCCAGCTAAATGGCAGATAATGTTGCAAATTGGTGAAGATTACATTACGCATTCCTCATCCAGCAACATTAAACCTAGTTTTAAACATTCCGGCTTTGGGAAATGAAGCAGGTCTGCTGTGATTGTGGAGGTTTAGTGCTGTATTTCTGGGAGCAGCAGACGAGACAGCAGCATCATGTCAGTGGAACACAAGCACAGACGCTCAAAAAAGGCATGTCAATCAGTTTAACCCCACAATGAATAGAGCTGTGTGTGAGAAGTTAACCCTGCGTGGGGGTTTACTAACGTTTTCATCATGTTGCCTTCACCAGTGACCAGACAGTCCACAATACTTTGTTTCAGTCATTTGGTAACTTACTGGATATAAAATAAAATAAAATATAATTTATTTACAAAATAAGCACAATAATTTAATTTATTTGATTATTTTTATTTATAGAATTATACCATGGTATATAGATTACTGTATTATTTCAAACTAAATGAAGCATTTTAAACTCAAACCAAATTAAAACAGACCAAGAAAGACAAAAATGTAAATCTAAGCAGATAAATGAACTTGTATGCATGTCAATTCACAGATCCCCAAAAACAAAATCACTTTTTCACTCAAAATGTTTTTTTTTTATTTGATTTTTTATTAAAATATTTTTCTTATTTTAATAATTTAATTTATAGAATTATACCATGCTAAACATATTCATGTATTATTTTAAACTAAATCAAGCCTTTATTTGTACATTCGACGTGCATATATGTAAATTCATAGCTACTCATAAAAATTAACTTTTTCAAAATTATTTATTTTTATTTATTGAATTTATATTTTATTTCTACAATTAAACCATATTAATGTATTACTTTAAATTAATCCTTTTAAACTTAAACCAGACTAAAACAAAAACAAAACATGGTATAATTCTATAACTAAACCATATTTACAATTTTATTTGTAGAATTTTACCATGTCTAAACATATTCATGTATTATTTTAAACAAATTTTTTTATATTTTCTAAAGAAAATGCCAGTGATGTTTGCCCATGCAACATTTCCAGAGAGTTGCTATGCAGTTTATCACATTTTATTATTATTCACTGAAGTTTAATAGCTTATAACAGTTAGATGTTATGTTTCACATTTCAAATGATGTGCTGTCCAAAGCAAGCACGCTTCTCAAATAACATCCCTGCCCATCTGTGATGAGTGCTGATGTTTATACTCACAGCTGAGACGAGCAGGCGCCGCGGCTCGGACCCGGTCCGCGCTTGACTAGCTGCTCTATTGAGTCGATGGGCCCGTGTATGTGCAGGACTGAATGCAGGGCCAGCTGCATCTGGCATCAAGTGCATTCATCTCAGGGGTTGGAGAGCATCGAGCAGGATTAGCTAACTGAAAGCATCCGCCAATACCATCGAAACCATGGCAACCAGCACCTCGCACAAGAGAGGAGATACGCTGAGCGTTACAACGGATAAGGGTCAAAACACACAAGATGCGATGGTCCGCTGATATCTGGAGACGGACCGTGGCAGCTGTGCACGACATGAATGGACTGATGATTGCAAAAATATGACCAATTAAAATGGAATTCCACAATCCTTGAGATAATAAACACACTTGACAGAAAAACGTCATTGAGAAGGAGCTTAATAAAGCTACATTTCACAAATCAAATTTCTCAGTGCAAAATCCAAGATCAGGATGAGTTTGTTTCTTCATCAGATTTGGAGAAATGTAGCATTGCATCAGTGTCTCAGCAATGGATGCTCTGCAGTGAATGGGTGCCGTCAGAATGAGAGTCCAAACAGCTGCACTGTAAAGAAAAAAAAAAGTTGACCTAACTCAACAAATAAGGCAACCTATCGCACTCAACCTGCGTTAACTCAACTAGCAACCGACAACTTAAAAACTGTAGTTCATTTAATGAATAAAAGTCAGTCTACTGAGTGTTAAAAGATCTGTCAGAGCAACCGAAGATTTTTTAACATTTAGCAATTCTAACCTTTTTTTAACAATCCTATTTCTTTTAGATTTATATTTTCAAAGCCTTCTACATGGGTAGTATTTGCCTCTTAAAACTAAAGGCAAACATTTATGCTGAGAGACAAATGTATTAAACTAGATGCAATGAGATGCACATACCTCAGCACACGATTCTCAAACATGGTGAGGATCAACAAATGTTAAATCAGTAAAAATATGAACTCTGATCCACATGACTGCTGACTGACAGTGACAACAGCAGCAAGCATAAATTAAGCCAGTAAAATTTAAAACGGACAATATTTTAATAATTAACATACAATGTTTTCAAGCTGCAATGCATGCTGGGAACTTGTGCAATATTGTTCAAAGTAAAATTGTTCAGATGACTCAATTTGAGAAGTTGGGAGAACTTTTGGATATGTTGTGAACAAATACTTGAGTATCTAAGTAAGGTTAACAAAACAACTTTTGCTAGCAACATGTTGAGTATTTTTGTTCTTGTTCACAAAAAATTAAACTACCTTCTCCTACTAAAAATTCTTTGTTCAGACTACTTTTTTTACATTGGTTAGTAGAACTTTTCGAAAGTTGGATTTTTTACAGTGATAAAAACATCACAATAATCCACAGCACACCAGTCCATCAGTTCACATCTGGAGAAGACAAAAGCTGAAACAAATCCATCAAGACGTTTTTAACTAAAATATGAGTCCATAATCCATAATAACGCTTCCTCCAGTGAAAAAGTGTTCTGGTGTGAATCAGGAGAGAAATCTGCACAGATCAAGCAGCGCTCTAAACAAATTTGTGGCTGGATTTTGATGTGAGAGACAACAGGAGATGCACTTTTTCACTGGAGGAAGCGTTATTATGGATTATGGACTCTTATTTGAGTTAAAAACGTC